CCTGTGCATTAACTATTATATATATATATATATATATAGGAGCTTTCATGTAATAGAAAACGCTTCCGGGAGCTTTCATGTAATAGAAAACGCTTCCGGGAGCTTTCATGTAATAGAAAACGCTTCCGGGAGCTTTCATGTAATAGAAAACGCTTCCGGGAGCTTTCATGTAATAGAAAACGCTTCCGGGAGCTTTCATGTAATAGAAAACGCTTCCGGGAGCTTTCATGTAATAGAAAACGCTTCCGGGAGCTTTCATGTAATAGAAAACGCTTCCGGGAGCTTTCATGTAATAGAAAACGCTTCCGGGAGCTTTCATGTAATAGAAAACGCTTCCGGGAGCTTTCATGTAATAGAAAACGCTTCCGGGAGCTTTCATGTAATAGAAAACGCTTCCGGGAGCTTTCATGTAATAGAAAACGCTTCCGGGAGCTTTCATGTAATAGAAAACGCTTCCGGGAGCTTTCATGTAATAGAAAACGCTTCCGGGAGCTTTCATGTAATAGAAAACGCTTCCGGGAGCTTTCATGTAATAGAAAATATATATAGGAGCTTTCATGTAATAGAAAACGCTTCCGGGAGCTTTCATGTAATAGAAAACGCTTCCGAAAATTAATCGTTTTCGGAACACAACTTGTCTTTTGTTTTTGTCTTCATTATGATATTGCGCTTAACACTATTTGTGTTTGACACTTTTTCTCTAAGGGTAATATATTTCTGCCAAAATGTCGTTTTCCCTAGCACTAAGGTATATTAGCAATACCTTTAATTTTTTGAGATAAAGATATGTAAAAACATATAATATTTAACAATTTTTTAAATATATCTTTTCTACATGTTTGTAATAAATATTTGTTGGAAATCTCAAACTCTGTTTTTTCATACTCTTATTATATATATAGCTATATAAGCTGTTATAAAAGTCCTTATTAGTAATAATAAGGTAACAATAAGCCAAATAACATTACAAACAAAAAAAATTAATTTAATTAAGATTAAAATTGTATTAAAAATTGATCGTGCATTATATAGCAATTTCGCATATGGTAATAAAAACGTCCACTTATTACAGTGTTGCCGCGTGATCTCGTCGTCCTGTGGATATCTCGTGTTCGACACAGTTCGAGTTGTGGTAGCGGTAAAATCTTGATGGGGAGGGGGAGAACTTCCGCTCATATATCGCTGTTGGCTGTTGGTTTCAATTTTCAATATGCAACATTCAGCAAGTTCACATTCAGTAACATTCAACCGTTTCTTCGCTTTCTTTCCGAACGTGACACGTTATGACGCGTTAACTTTCGCCACGTGGTCCCGCAAAGTTGAATTGTACTCGGGATACAGGATGTAACATGTAACGCGACGCACGCAACAGTCGTATACTAACTGATAAGATCGCCGGACTAGACCCCTCCACCACGCGGAAAGACCCTCTCAAGTAGGAGAGCCCGATCTTATGAGACACAAAGGGAGAGAAGAGACAGTTACACAATTATCGAGTCGATGCATCAAAGGCGCATGAAACATATGGTGCAAGTTGGAAAACAATTATCAAACAAAAAAAAAAATACTCTGCTAGAAAGGAAAATGCTAATAATTCTAGCGTTGTAATACGAGAAAGGTTTTTTGAAGAAAATTTTAATGTCGAAAACACGGAGAGAAAATTGCTGCCATAAATTGTTTGGGATGAATTACTTTGAAAAACCAAATGAAATTCAAATAATTTCTACAATAAGCCTGCACTTAATTCAATAAATTATATATTTAACTTTTTCAAGAAGAAGTAGGGAACATTTCTTCATACACTAAAAATTGGACTATTTTTAAATCGCTGAAATTCGGCGAAAAATTATCGCAAACAAAAAATAAAAAAAACATTTTGAAGCTTGAAGTTTTCAATGCTCTATCGATGTTTTAAAACTTTTTTGACTTTCTTGTTCTGTGCTTTAAAAAAGAAAACAATGATTTTGTTTCTTAAAATTACGTATTTTTGATACTCTGCAGCTCGATAAAAAAATTTCTCTCGAAAAATTTAAATCAAGTTCCATACGACTAAAACCTTTCGAAAGTTACTCTCAGGGCCGTGTCCTTAATAATACATATCAAGGCCATTGAAATCTGTGAAGTCGCCTCTAATATGCATAATTATCGCACCAAGAATTATCCGAATCGTACCAAGGATAACTCATGATAGCAAAAAAAGGAAATCTTCTAAAACAAAAAACTGAGAATATTGTTTATTACATTGCAATATTATAATACATTCACGAATTTATTGCCGGCTATCGCGATGCATTTTGCATCGCATTTGGACATCACAGCGACGATTGACAAGCGAAGGGACGTTTTCACAAAATTAACGATTAATCTTCCTCTTGTTTCGCACGCATTTTGGCTCGTTTCAGTTCCTCGTAACGTACAACGTACTCATTCACCATCGCACGCAAGTCTCCATTGTTCTCCATTGTGAGTTCGAGAGAGGAGAACAGACTCTCCAATATATGACTCGGCCACTCATCGGTCGATCGAACGATTGTTTCGACCAAATCCTCCATTTGCGAACTGAAAAGCTTTTCGGCGCTGGATCGAGATGAAGACGTACCGGACGTAAGTTTCTGCCGTTTCGACGGCGGACCCTCACCAGATGCGTTGTATTCTCTCTTGATATTCGTTCCTGGTAAACAAATTTGTAGAACTATAAATTGCGGTTGTAATTTATAATTAATATATTCACATGAATAAATTCCAAGAAATTGTTTATTGTAAATATAAGTTGGATTTAGAAAATTATCAATCAGTAATTACTCGATCTGGAAAACGTCGAGGATCGTACAGTTCCGAGCTTATTTCGCGCTTTCGATTCCGTTTTAATCTTTCTGGTCGTGCGTGCCGCGCTTATTTCTTATGAAATCATTGCACATATGTACATTAACGATCTTGTATGCGAAATTTGTGCTATTAAACATACCTAATAATCCGTTAGAATCGCTAGAACATACGTAGCTCCGCAGCTTTCTGTTATTTTCACCCTTGAGCTTCTTCGGGCTCAGGATTTGCACCAGATCCGCTACGTTTGTCAGAAACCGATTTATCGTTAACGCAATAACCGTGCGATATGCGATTATTTTAGACGGATAATCACCTTGTGAGGAGCAGTCGGAAAGACTGTCGGGTCCACTGAGGAATAATTGCTTGAAGAAAGATCGCCGCTTTTGTGGTGAAGGCGATCTCACCTCATACACCTCGCCGCGATTATCGTCATACAATTCTGCAATCTATAAGATATCAATAATTACGCGTTTTACTATGTATGAGTAAAGATATTACAAATATATCAAGTAGAAAAAGTAGAAAAATTTCTCGAGAAATATTGATATATTTCTCGAGAAATTTCAACACTGCTAAAAATTTCTAAAAATTTCACGATTCTGTCAATCCTTCATTTTTATATAGATTTATAATGAAATGTATTATGTTTGACTATATAAAAAAAAACCACATTAGAGCATAGATATGGCTATTTGAAATATTAAAGTACGAATAGAAATTAAATAAAATAATGCGTCGAGAAAAGACCATCAACCTCCGATGGCAGATCGGCGTGTCGACAGTGGACAGTCATTAACACGAGCATGTGCACCGATCGATCGAGACCGCGCATTAAGGAGGTAAAAACCACTCTCGCCGTCTCATTCACCAGATCCCACCAAGTCAAGACATCAGGAACATACAGTAACGCTGGTAAAGTGTGACGTGCGGTCTTGATTTTCTGTATTACGACGAAACGATTATCGTGTGACATTTATCTAGGAACAAGGGAAGAGAATAATCTTTTTCTACTTGTATCATAGCTTCCTCGGCTGCTTTGCCTGTTTCCTCGAACAGCGTCGTGACATCCAGAATGTGACAAGGTAGATGTTCCAGAGTGTGCAGCAATGCCGGTCCTAAGTGACGAGTGTGAGAATCATCGTCACCGCATAGCACGATTCGCGGACAGCCACTCGATTTGGACGTGGCTTTGCCTGTTCTATATTCGGATTAGTATTTATTTTGATTTTGTTCCTGGATATTCATCGCGCGATGCTTACATGTTGTCAGAAGTTAGCATGCCGGTTGGACAAAGTGTTTGTAAACGCGACAGAATTTCCGCCAGATCCTCCTGTAATAACGGTTGGATTTTGGAAGGTAAACTCTTGATCGGCGCAACGATAACGCGATGGGACGCGGGAACGATATTCTGACGCGCCTTCAGAAAGTCTTCCTTTTCCACCTTGATGAAAAAAAATCAAGTTGTTTAACTTGTCACAAAAGTGTTTTTATATATAACACCTATGTATTTTTCTTGTAAAGTAACTTCTCTTATTTTTTTAATTTGTTAAACAGATTTAATCGATATTTGTGTTGTCAAATGATGTATGTCTTACTTTGAGATGGCGTTCATTGATGTGATACTTAGATTTAGAATTATAGATTTGCGGATAGTTTCTGCGAACCGAGCACATAACTGCTTCAGCGCAAAGTGCCTGCAGATCGCTGCCGCAGAATCCCAATGTTTTCGACGCCAAGTACGCTAAAAATTTCTGTGCCGGTTTCTGTTTCCAACTTTTAATGTGTACCTGTCTCACCGCGTTACAAAAAATATTAATATTTCTCCATCAATTTCTATATTTTTTTTCCGTCAAATTTTATCAGTTTTTTTCCTCAATTTCTTACATTTTTATTATGAAAACAATACCGAAAGTATCTCTTTCCGGGCGCTATAGCAAGGCAAGGGGAAATATAGTTCTTTGTCGAATCTACCAGGTCTCCTCAGAGCGGGATCTATTGCGTCAATTCTATTAGTCGCCCCTATCACTATGATCTCGGAATTATTGTCCAAGCCATCCATCAAAGCCAAGAGAGTGGAGACCACGCTAGCATGGACAAAATCTTGCCGACTTGACCTTACAGGCGCGAGACCGTCGACTTCGTCAAAAAAAATTATGCACGGTTTCGTCTGTTGTGCCTGGGGAAAAAAACAATTATTCCTTTGGATCGAAGATGTTCTCTTGGATTTACACGTAAGATTTTTTCGCTCTTTGTGATACAATTTTCATAAAACATCTGAATTGTAAAAGAGGAAAGAAAATTCGTAGGTTATTGTAATAAATATATAAAATAGAAAAAATATAATTATATAATAATCGAATTTCATTGACCAACGAGAAGATCTTCTCGAGCTTCTTCTCGCTTTCTCCGACCCATTTGCTGAGACAATCGGAACCCTTGCGCGAAATGAAGGAGACCTTGCGTTCGGAATTGCTGCACTCGGTTGCTAGAGCGCTGGCTACGAGGGTCTTTCCCGTTCCTAATGAAGAGTAGAGGCAGGAGAGATCCACAATAACGCTCTCTCACACATTTCATAAATGAAGTATTACCTGGAGGGCCGTAGAACAGTAAGCCACGAGGCGGTCTGAGATTAAACTTAGCATACACGTCCCCGTACATCAGCGGAAACAGGACCATCTCCTTCACGATTCTAATGTGCTTCTCCAGCCCTCCGATGCACGAGAAATCTTTCGCGACAGACATTTCTTCTTTTCTTCAAAAATTCTCAAAAGAAACCGCCGATCTATTTTTATTTCTGTTCGCTTCTCTATTGCAGTCAACGCAAAAATGACATTTTTACTATCATCGACATCTCGATACAAATCTCTCGATTTATTCGCGCATTCTGGATGATTTTACGATCGAGTTATCATCACTGGAATTTTTATGCAAATTATTTAAAAAGTTACGAGAGTTTATTACTCAATTTCATTATTTTTGACGTATCGCCGGCTAACAAACGGAAGGTCATACGAATCGATTACCGTATCAATACGATAGCGTTCATATGTTTTCGCATGTATAGAAATAAGCATACAAAATGATAATTTCACAATGAAACAAACAGGGATATAATTTGGAAGAAACGAGAGAATAACTGCAAATAAATTGATTACATTACGAAACTTTATTTCACTATATGTATGACTATAAAATGTGTGTTACTTATATATATAATATATATATTTATATATGGTAAAATAAATAAGGCAGTGGATGCATCGTCGCTTTTCGTCCGTATCTTTTCCAACTTGTCGTGTGTATGTATGTGTGGATTCTCTTAAGGCTACCATCTACTATGTCAATAGAAAAAAATTGCCAGATTTGATATGCTACAGTTCAAACGTGTTGACATCTCATCGTTCGTAGAGAGTAGTCTTAAGTGATATTATTGAGAAACACAGAATAAAGGAGAGATAAATGTGGTAGCGCTCGTTTTCATAATCGGCAGTGTTATGAGATAACTTCTCGATCTGATGGCGCATATACATTCATTGTATATATATATATACGGATTCACAATTCACGCGCGTGTGGTAGTGAAATGACAGCATGTCCGAAAATAGCACCAAGAATGAAATTGCGTTTCTTTCGGATCGTTATTTCGAAGCGGAATGTAAATCGTAATCGCTAGAAGAAAAATCACATCCGCTCGGCGGTTTTTCCTTGTAATTTATGTTTAATGCTTTACAATGATTATAATTATATGCGAGAAGAGAGTTCTGGTAGAGCATTATCTGTTGTTATTTCTTTGGCAAATATTTATATAATTCTCACTGACGAGAATCCTCCATCATCGCGCGTGTAAGAGAATCGGTGATAATTCATATGACACTACAGCGATCTTCTTTTTCTCATATCCTTCCTTTTCTAATCGAATTTTGAAGGCGTGTACCTCATAATAAACTTCATACGAACGCTAAAAAGCGAGCATTTTTTTCTTCTTCTAAATCTCAGTCTTTTCGACTCTCTAGTCACTAGAAAATTTCGCAAGTAATACAATCGAATTTCGACGAATGATCCAATCGCCGAACAGAACGAATTTCTACGCTAACTACAAAATTTCATTGCTATAAAAAGAATTTCATCGCTATCACCTGACGCGAAAAACGGATATGCTACTAACAAAACCTGTTAGATTATCTTTCAATCGCGCGATTGCTAAAAATTCATCATATCTTAACAACAATAACATATTTCTAAGAAAGATATTATACTCGTGGATCACATAAGTTTTATTGATAGAGTTTATTTTTTGTAGCTCTTCTATATTCGATCGTATGGTTTAAACGGTAGAAGATGGATCGCGCCCTGTAAGTGTATATGTACAATTCGACAATCATACATACTGTTTAAATGGTTATATCGAAGAGAATCGGCTTTTTAGGCTGTTTGAAACAGCTCAGATGAAAACGAGTTTTCGTCTCGTCGCATACAATTTTATCTGATCTATCTGGTTTATATGTGGTAACTAATCTTTCACGATTATAGCAAATCACAACCAATACACGAATCTGGAAGGCGTTATATATTCTATAAGTATTTACTAATATTTATACGTACATATATATATACATACATATATATACATGCATATATATAACAAAGTCTCCCAGAATCGTCACACAATTTCTTCTCGAGTGCGGATATTCTTTGATTAATAAAAATGGCAGTTGTTTTAAATCGAGAGACATCTCTCAATATAGCTTTGGAGTTATAAACAATTAAATATGAGATAATCTATTTACACTTAGTTTCGATGAAATATAACAAATAAAAGAATCAGAAAAGAATAAAAGAAAATAAAATCGAAGAAAGTGCGAGAGTCCCGGAATACTTTGTAAAGCGACGGCCAGATATTCAAAAGTACTTATTAGGATCAACCGGAAATAAACACTTTGTTGTCACTTCAAATGATTCAAATTTTAAAAATTTAATAAACTGGAGTCATTCTTTCCTCGTTCCGATTTCTTTAATCCTAATTCAAATATTTAATATTAATTACTGTAATCCACTCTTTGAGATCTCGCTGTGTAAACGATAAATTTTGCAATTATAAAGTCCATTTACTCTTCCGTGAAGCTTCAAAATTAATTTAAACGTGACTAACTAGCCGCCATTGTATAACGCATTTTTTTTATCGAGGTATTTCATAATTGTGTGTGTACGCGCGTGCGCACGTGTGTTAAGTTTTCATATTCAATCTTATCTTTTTTTTACAACTTTGGTCTATTTAAATTGCAGATATCTAATCGCATTTCGAATATGCCTTAAGTTATTTTGTATAAAGTGAACTGCACTAATGCAGGAAGGATAAAAAATTGCTATCGCGAGAAAAGGATCACATTTAATCAGATAATCAATATCGATCGTTCTCTCAATTGCTTGATTAAAAACCTTAACAGGATTCTGATAAAACAGTACTATTACAAAAAGATATATGTTCACATAGCATAGGTTTTTTTAAATATGTTAATTCTGAATACTTTCTGTGATTTTTTTGTTAAATTAAATTCAAATACTTTTATGTGGATTTTTTTTTCGCGATAATAATCTTCTACCTATCCTATATAACTCTATATACGCCAAGTAATATCATCTTATATTTTAATAAGAATTTGAATTGATACATTTTGTTTCGCGAGGTATATTGATATACAAGGAGAACCACAATTTTAACACATATAAAGAAATACGTTTCATATTTTAGCTCTCCTTACTTGTAAATTTTTATTCGGATTGAAGACGAATATTTGGAATAGTCCCTCGTCAATAATATAATAAAATGTCGAATTCTTGTGTCTCGTAAGTGTTTAAAATAATGATGTTCTAGAATTGGGGATGCATTATACCATGTTAGCGTGTTTGAATGGAATATTTGAATGGAAATAGTTAAGTACATAATGTACTAATTTCTGTGTTTTCGTTATTTCTCATCAGTATGTACTTTAAAATTTATCAATGTAATTTCACACAAAATTTGAAAAAGAGGAAAAGGAATTTTGTACATATACCTGATTTTTTTTCCTCAAGCAAAAATCTATAATTATTCTTCAAGAAAATGATGCAAAAAATGTTTAACAATTTATTACTTTTATCTTTTGGCTGACTATGGTAATGAAAGTAATATAATCTCAATCATAAGTGAAGAATAATAAAAGGCTATAAACGCAATAAAGATAATAATAATACTAATAATTATAATAGCAATTATTATTATGATACTGATGATAATATATGATAAAACTTACAAAATTTTTTTCTTTGACAAATATAAATCAAATTTATTTTTTAAAAAAATATATAAGCAACTGCAAGCAATAAGACAGCGATGTGATTCATTCTTATTACTTCAGTCATGTGATTGAGAATCACGATACTACCTTATCATGTCAAATATCAAATAATTACTTGTTTGGACATTTACAGCACTTTTACAATATGTACAAAATTTAATTGGATTGTGTACATACCTGGAATTCAATATTTAATTAAAACTAATTTCCTGCTGCATTTTAAATAACAAATGCGATTGCTTTGCAGATGTATGCTATTATTTACCTAAAGACTGGCAGTATAATAACTAAAAAATATATCATTCCAAAGTTTTGTTTGATACAATGATAATATTCGGCTTTGTAATTTCAGTATAAATATATAAAAGAAACCATCTCTGATTTTTTTTTAAAGATTAGTGTTGCTAAAAATATTGTGATGGCGTAATGTATAACACGTTTGTCTCATTAGCAACATGCTGCATTTTCTTTCATATATGCCATACCTACTTGTATCGTATGTATTCTAATGACACTGTCGCTTGTACTCCGTAAACTTTTCCACTTCCTTGAGCAAGTCCTGCATACAATCCAAGTAACAATATATTAATAAGACTCCTCTATATGTTAATTTATATATACAATATGTAATATGTAAATTAACAATGTATACATTTACATGCATTTACATATACAAATTAAATAAGTCGATATTTTTTTAACGCTATATGCATATGTTCTATTTTTTTATAATAAATAGAATATATATATTTACCTTTGGCAGTGATTTTCTATCGTATTTATGAGCATATTTCCCAACACATCTGCTTAGTTGCACATAGATATCGCACAATACCTCAACAGGAAAGTCTTTTGTTATTTCAACAATATAATGCCACGCATTTTCGAGTTCACTTTTATCAACTAAAACTTTCTCATTTTCTTCAATTTTATCTCGACTAGAATCGCTTTCAATGGCGAACGACAATTCATCCATGCTTTCGCGTCGAGACGACGAACTCGAATCACCGTTCCCAATATGTTTATCTTCTTCTATGAAACATAATTCCATTTGGTCGAGATTATCAATTCGTTGATCTGTAACAGTGCCGTTTTGGCTTTCCTTTGAATTTTCATTTTGCGAATCGTTCTCCGAATCGGTATTATCGAACAATCCCACATGGCCGTTTAAAACGCTATTCGCTTCGGTTTCGAATTCTTGGAATTTTTCTAGATCAATACTAGTAGTAGTTTCATTGTTTAGCGATTTACTTGCGACTACCTCGGTAACATTTTCATCGAAAGCGATCTTTTTCTTCTTATGAACTTTCTTCACGTAGCCTCTCGCCCATGCAGGTATTTTACGTTTTCTCGAACTACCGAATTTCTTTCCGTTCACGATGAGGGAATGACTAGAATTTACGGACTCCTTCTTTTCTATCCGTTCATTTGTGGAGATAGATTCTGATTTTTTGCTTTCTTCCTCGTTATTACAATTGCTTTCTAAAATTCGGCGATTCTTAGAAATTTCACGACACTTATCCTCGAAATCGGAGTCCAGTTCGGCTTTTATTAAAGCGTAAGCATTATCCCGCAAGGAGCACGCCCGATGTCTTATCAATTTATCAGCAGGATCCCTGTGGAAAG